AGGGATGCCAGGACACGTGAGGACGGGAGAGGGATGGCAGACATGGTGAGGTAGCGAGGATATGTGGGACGAGGGATTAACATCAGGGGATGAGCCAGTCTTAAAAGGATGTTGCAGGGTGAGAGCGACTGCGTGTGATGGTGATGGCGATGGTGATGGTGAGGGAGTGGGGTGACATGCGGCAGACGTGGTGAGGGAATGAGGGGTGGGGGAGTGGTGACAGCATAGGATGATGGGCCAGCCTCGAAACAACCTCGTTGGGCAAGAGCTCCTGCATGTGATCTCGCTATGGGGGGCATTGAGGGCTAAGATTATAACAGCTTGGAGATGCTAAGAGGAAGGGGCGAGGCAAGACAAAGCAAGGGGCGAATGCAATTAGCATGCCCTTTTGCAATCAGAATGTCATTTTGCAATCAAGATGCCATAATGCAATCAACCTGTCATCACGCAATCAGCCTGTCATCATGCAATCAGCATGCCATCATGCAATCAGCATGCCCTTTTGCAATCAACATGTCATTTTGCAATCAAGATACCATAATGCAATCAAGCTGTCATCACGCAATCAACCAGCCATCATGCAATCAGCATGCCATCATGCAATCCGCATGCCATCATGCAATCCGCATGCCATCATGCAATCCGCATGCCATCATGCAATCAGCATGCCATCATGCAATCAGCATGCCATCATGCAATCAGCATGCCATCATACACTCAGCATGCCATCATGCAATCCGCATGCCATCATGCAATCCGCATGCCATCATGCAATCCGCATGCCATCATGCAATCAGCATGCCATCATGCAATCAGCATGCCATCATGCAATCAGCATGCCATCATACACTCAGCATGCCATCATGCAATCCGCATGCCATCATGCAATCCGCATGCCATCATGCAATCAGCATGCCATCATGCAATCAGCATGCCATCATGCACTCATCATGCCATCATGCAATCCGCATGCCATCATGCAATCCACATGCCATCATGCAATCAGCATGCCATCATGCAATCCGCATGCCATCATGCCATCCGCATGCCATCATGCTATCAGGATGCCATCATGCAATCATCATGGCCTGTCTAACTGGTGGGTTGACAAGTGAGTGGCGAAGGGAAAGGGGCGAAGCACACTTTACGTGCAGCAAGGTTATGTGGTGTGATGTGAAGGTTCGATCTCACCTATAGCGAGATCACAGCAACGTCAGGAGGGAAAGAGTAGGGGGGAACGTTTGATGGACTCCTGTGTCTGCAGGCGTTGGGGTGGAGGGATAGGGTTGGGGTTGATGGAGGGTGGGGAAACAGGCGGGAGGTTTGTCGTCACCGAAAGTGGAAGGGAGAAGACGAGCATAGAAAGGGTAGCAGTTATATTGTGGAAAGGCAGTGAGCTGGTTGGACGGTAAGGGAGGGCGGGGGCAGGTGAGGGCGGGTAAGGGAGAGTAAGGGCGAAAAAAGGAGCTCTCGTCAATAGCAAAGGCTGGGTGAAGAAGGGCTAAGATGCACTGTGCTGTGCGTGCCTTGGACAGGAAGAGAGCAGGAGGGATGGGGAGGTGGGTTGACGGGGACTGGGGCAGGGAATGGTCTACTCACCTCAACAGCGAAAGCCAGTTGAAGGGGGGCCAGCAGCCGCTGTGCGTGCTGCCTTCTCCTCTCACTTCCCTGCCCCAACCTGGTTTCCCCTTGCGTCCCTCCCTCTGCTCCCTCCCTCCTCTGCTCCCCTCCCTCAGCTCCCTCTTCCGTGTCCATGCTAGGGTGCAGCCCAAAGCGCAGGGAACCCACAACCTACAAGGGATTGAGGAAAAGGTTTTTTGCTTTTGTGAGTGGAGAGAAAGTGGGGAGGGGGAGGAGGGGGAGAGGAGAGGGATGTGCGGGGGAGGGAGGGAGAGGGAGGGGAGGGGAGGGATGTTGTGGAGAAGGTTGCAATTTGAAGCAACGAATAGAATACTCACTGTGAGGGGGTGCATCTTTCCTGCAATGGTAACCACCTCCTACAATGCCTCCCCCACGCCCTTGTCGTCCAGCGATTTCAGTGCCCTGGTGGTGGGGGGAGGGGGGTGGAGATGGGGGAATAAGGACTTGTCATGTTTTCTGAATGGGGATGGTGGGGATGGTGGGGATGGTGGGGATGGTGGGGATGGTGGGGATGGTGGTGATACATCAAGTGAAAAGTAGAGGGATGAGGGGAGGGTAACTCCAACCTAAGGCAGCAGGCTAGCTCGTCTGATGTAACCCTAGTCATGGGCATCGGGGTACAAGGCCGTGTTGCTGTTAACGCTAGTGGGAGCAGTGAAGCGAGTGCACTGGAGTGCACGTCAAAACACCCACCTGATAGCCCCGGCCATGGGCATCGAGCGAAACATCAACACACAGTTGCCTCGTACACTTACAGGCTCACTTGATGATGTCTACTGACGCCGCGCTCACTGGAAGATGACCAGGGATCTACTTGATGCATGGCAGCTTCTTCCATTGGAGCTGGATGGTGCGGGCTGCTGTCATTCTAAGCTTGCAGTTCAGTGCCACGGAACAGGGAGGTAGACCATGATAGATTTTTTAGAATTCTCAAAAACCTATCACAAAAGAGCGGGCTGCTGCCATTCTAGCCTTGTGGTTCAGTGCCATGGAACAGGGAGGCAGACCTAACAGCGCCTCACCCGTTTGATGTAGCGCCTGCTGTTGGAGTCGGAGTAGAAAGTCCTGCTGCTGTTCATGGGCGAGTGACACTCACCATTCACGCTCGATTCACTCTAGTCACACCACCCACCATTCACTCTAGTCACACCACCCACCATTCACTCTAGTCACACCACCCACCATTCACTCTAGTCACACCACTCCCCACAAGTTTTCCTGAGTCATTTGCACCCGGAGAGACCAGCTCCATCCACTGCATGCCCAGAGCCGACTTGGAGAACGAGACGTGCAGCGCTACCCACTTTTCACCGCCCTTCGCATCACCTCGGGCATCGCTAGTACCAGTGCCCCCGGCGCCTTGCCACCCACCCAGCACCACAGTATCACCCCCTTTCTGCTCCTGGCCGCTCCCTCCTGCATCTCCACCCGCGTCCCCCTCTGTTCCCTCACCACCCTGTGCTTCCTGTCTCTCCTCCACTGGTCGCCAACCTCCGCCCCCTCGCCTTCCTTCCCCTCTCCACCTTGCTCGCTTTCTTCTGACCTGCCCCTGCCTGGCCCGTTGCTGCCTGGCCAGTTGGTGCCTGGCCCATTGCTGCCTGGCCCGTTGCTCCCTTGCCCCCTTTTCCCCTCCCCTTTTCCCTGTCTCTCCCCAGTCAGTGCTGATGCAGAGGCAACCGCCATGCTACTCCATGCCTCACTCATGTACGCCCGGAGAGGGGTGCCTGCGTGGGGGGGCGGGGGATGGGGGATGGATGGCAGGAGGATAAAAAGGAGGAGGTGATTCCAAAGAAGAGGTACCTCCCCCTAGAATACAAGTGACAGCACTGCCTACTGCTGCTGCTCCTCACTCTCCTGCTGTGCATGCATTGCTGCCAACTATACTGTGGTGAAGTCTCCACAGTTTGATGGATGGAAAATGAGTGGGTGAGCTGCCTTGGCTTGCAGGGGAGGACAAGGGTGGAGCATGCAGTGAGAGGCACCTCCGCTTGGAATGCAATGCTGCGGCAACGTGCTCTGATTTGAGACGGGTTTTGCAACGTCTCAAACGAGACGCCTCAAAACACGAGGCACCTCCGCTCAGAGCAGAAGCAACAGCACTGCCTGCTGCTGCCTCTCAGCCTCTGCTGACTGCACCGATCCATTTCCTTGAGGTACTACCAACCATACCGTGGTGCAAACCGCAAGCTTCCAAAGTCTAATGCAGGAAAAAAGGGGGAGTGAGCTACCTTGGCTAGCTTGGCTTGCAGGGGAGACCAAGAGGTGGCGAGTCCAAGAGCAGAGCAACCTCTGCCCAGGATACTAGCGACAGTACTGCCTGCTACTGCTGCTGCTGCTGCTGCTGCATTCACAAGGTAAAAGCCGTACCTTTGCTGGCTGGAGAGACAAAGAAGGTGGCGTATCCAAGAGGAGGCACATCTGCCCAGAACACAAGAGACAGCACCGGATCCTCCTGCTCCTCCTGCTTATGCACTCCTGTCTTCTGGCCCTCCTTCTGCTCCTCCTGCTTATGCACCCCTGTCTTCTGCACCCCTGTCTTCTGTACCCCTGTCTTCTGCACCCCTGTCTTCTGCACCCCTGTCTTCTGCACCCCTGTCTTCTGCACCCCTGTCTTCTGCACCCCTGTCTTCTGCCCCTCCTTCTGCTCCTCCTGCTTATGCACCCCTGTCTTCTGCACCCCTGTCTTCTGCCCCTCCTCTTGCGGCTTCTGTTGGTGCAACCCTATGGCTTGCACTCGGCTTGTCGTCCTTGTTTGTGTGTGTGCATGCATGGCATGGAATGAATTGTGAGTCTATGTCACTGCTATCTAGTGCTTGTGTGTGTGTTTGAATGGTGTATCACAATGTGGTTTGTGTCGGTCAAGACATTAGCGAGTTTTCACAACTCGCATGTGAAGTCGTCGTTGGCGTGTCGCATGTGTTTTTTCTATTTTGTCGAGTGTGAAGTGTCCATCGTGTCGCAGGTGTGTGCAGCAAGCCTCCAACAACTCAAGAAGAATTTATCTCGCTGAACCAAGACCAAGAGCTCAAGATTTCAAGCCCAAGGGACACGGATAAACATTAAATAGTAAAAATAGTAGCGCTACTTCGTGTAGTGTTACATTTCACTTGGTGTAGACCCTTGGAGGGTTTGTTTCGAGACTCTTCATGGTTGGGGACTCTGTGGTGGTGTACCACCAACCTGGACCTCGGCTCTTGGGGTATGTAGAGGTTGGGAATCATCTCTATCTCGAACTCTTCTTGCTAACTTTGTACTCCTAAGACTTTAGTGGCTGCTGTACCTCCTGCCAGTCAAACCGCCATAGCGTCGTCAAATCTTCATGGAAATTTATTATTCAACTTGCTGCTGATAGGCGACAGCAACGTGCTCCAGATCCAATTTACAGATCACCGTTTGAGGCACAGATCAGATCGGCATAAATATTTGAAGCTGTCTGACGGAATTCTGACAGTGCACAATTTCTCTCATTTTAGGCACATCTGAGCCTATTGTGAGTATAACAGCTTCCTCCGCTTACTCTTCCTCTGCTGGCTCGGCTGCCACTGCCCATCCTCCAGCTCCTGCCGCTCGTCCCCTTTCTCCCCCACATCCTCCCCCACCCCCGCCCCCTCCTCCCCTCCCCCGCCCCCCGTGCCCGTGTAAGCAGCGATGTAGGTGGCACGGGTGGTGGGGGAGAGGAGGGTGTCCCGCAGCACTTGAGAGGGGATGGGGGTGCCAGAAGCGTCTGTGACTAGGAGATTGGGGGACGACACCTGTTGGGGGATGGAAGGGGAGGAGAATGAGAGAGTGTAAGCAGTGATACAGGCGGGTGGAGGCAGAGAGGAGTGCGCATCTGTAGGCACTTGAAAGGGGATAGGGGGAGAGAAGTATAAGTGGCTAGGAGGCTGGGGGGTGGCACCTGGCGGCGTGGGGGCCAGAGGCGGAGCGAGGTGGGAAGGGACGGAGAAGAATAAAGGGCGTTAGCAGAGATGCAGGTAAGGGCGGGGCGAGTGGAGGTGGGGTGAGTGGAGGTGGGGTGAGCGGAGGTGGGGTGAGGGAGGTGGGGTGAGCGGAGGTGGGGTGAGTGGAGGTGGGGTGAGCGGAGGTGGGGTGATTGGAAGTGGAGTTGCAGGTGAGCCCTCTCGCTGGACGTCGCATATCAGTGCGATTGAGACAGAGAGCGCACAATCGTTAGCGAGCAGCAGCACATGCATACCGGGAATCGAATGACTTCGGAACGAGGCCAGGCAAGGGGATCGAATGCCACCACAACCTGTAGGGCAAATGCATGTGGGGCATGGGTGAGGGGGGGGAAAGAGGGAGGCGTGGGAAGCCGGACGGAGAGTAGGAATGAAGATGGATGTGTGGGAAGGGAAGGGGGGGGTGGGAGGGAGAGAAGCCCTGAGCGGACTGAGGAGGATACATGCAGTGTCAGCCGATGCAGGCAGTGCACTTTGGAAAGGCAGCCATGGCATTGTGAAGAGGCTGAGAGCGACCAGTGGGTGAATGAAGGCAACGAATGGATGGATGCATGGGCGGATGCTCAACCAAATAGCGTCTGGGATGCCATGTGGGATGCCATGTGGGATGCCATGTGGGATGGCGTGTGGGATGGCATGTGGGATGGCATGTGGCATGGCATGTGGCATGGCATGTGGAACGCCATATACGACATGGTGCATGTGGCATGCACGGTACTAGGGTGTGGCCTCGCTGCAGAGCGGATTCAGATGGCGGGCAGTACGAGAGGTTGAGCAGAGGGCACTGAGGGGGACTTGGAAGGGAGGGAGGAGGGAAGGAAGAGGGGGGGAAGAAAGGGGAGAGGATTGGATAAACACGGGATGGAACAGGTGCGCATAGGCAGCAGAGTGAACCTAGATGGACACAAACTGCTTGACAGCAACACACTGGAGAGCATAAAGGAGCATCAGCCTTATCGTCCTTTGACCATCTTAGCATTGCGTGCTATGGTTGCTGCTCCATTAATCATACCGCCATCACCATCATCCTCCCCCCATCAACATCAACATCAACATCCCCAGTATCAGTATCACCAGTATCATTTCCGCCATCACAGCATCATTAACACAGCTCCACATACCATCACAGCACCACAAACCATCACAGCAGCACATACATCACAGCTCCACATACCATCACAGCATCACATACCATCACAGTATCACATACCATCACAGCATCACATACCATCACAGCATCACATACCATCACAGCATCACATACCATCACAGCATCTCATACCATCACATACCATCACAGCATCACATACCATCACAGTATCACATACCATCACCGCATCACATACCATCGCAGCATCGCATACCATCACAGCATCACATACCATCACAGCATCACATACCATCACAGCGTCACATACCACCACAGCATCACATACCATCACCGCATCACATACCATCACAGCATCACATACCATCGCAGCATCACATACCATCACAGCATCACATACTATCACAGAACCACATACCATCACAGCATCACCTATTATCACATCACATACCATCACAGCATCACATGCCATTGCAGCATCGCATACCATCTCAGCATCACATACCATCGCAGCATCACATACCATCGCAGCATCACATACCATCACAGCATCACATACCATCACAGCGTCACATACCATCACAGCATCACATACCATCACAGCATCACATACCATCACAGAACCACATACCATCACAGCACCACATACCATTACAGCATCACATACCATCACATCACATACCATCACAGCATCACATATCATCACAGCATTACATACCATCACAGCATCACATACCATCACAGCACCACATACCATCATAGCATCACATACCATCACAGCACCACATACCATCACACCTCCACAAACCATCACAGCACCACATACCATCACAGCATCACATACCATCACAGCACCACATACCATCACAGCTCCACAAACCATCACAGCACCACATACCATCACAGCTCCACATACCATCACAGCTCCACATACCATCACAGCTCCACATACCATCACAGCCCCACATACCACCTTGAAGTCCAGCAATGGCAGATTCTGTCTCCCTCCCTCCATATTGTCACCTTCTTTCGCACCACTACTGCAACTAAGCCCATCACCCACACCTGAGGCATCCTGCACTCGCCTCCTTTCCTGCCTGCTCGGCTCTTCCATCCCTTTTCTTTCATCGGGGCGGATGCCCTCCACGCTTGAGCTTGTGCCATCAGGAGCAGGGCGTGTGCCATCAGCAGCAGCACCAGCAATGGTCCCATCAGATCCAAGGAGAGTCCACCTGCTCTGACCCAGTCAAAGCAGAGCCAGCCTGCTTGGCCGCATTAGCCGAGGCATCACCGTGGCCCAACTCTCCCTTCTTCCCAGCTTCATCATCACCACGCTGCAGCGACTCCGGGTCAAAAACCTCTTCTGGGTTTAGGAATTCCTCTTCCCCTTCCCCTTCCCCTTGCACTTCCTCTAGCGCCTGCCCTTGCACGAGCTCGGAGTCAAGAGGTTGCTCTTGCTCGTGGGCCAGCCCAACGGCCTCCACTTGGTCAGGGTCTAGTGCAGAGAGGTCCTCAAGGTCGGATTCTGCAGTTTGCGGGTCATCATAGCTGTATGACGCCTCATTGCCCGGCTGTCCTGGCAGCCCATCTTGTGTGTCATCTTCAGTGTCGTCTTCAGTGTCGTCCTCTGTGTCAGCTTCCGTGTCACCATCCTGACCAAAGAAGTCAGGGTTCAGCTGCATGTCAGCGCCAGGCTGGTTGAAACCGGGCGGGTTGACCAGGCCCATGTGGCCCCAGCCCCACCCGCGCTGCCCTGTGGGGGCCGGTGTGAAGTTGAACTGCACGCCTGGAGACAGGGACAGGTTGGCTTCAAAGGCCGAGGAGAGGTTGGCTTCAGAGGCCCAGGGTTGGCGGGCGCCTCTGGTGATGAGGTGGGTGAGTGCTGACGTGAGCACAGCAGATGCCTGCACGTGTCATGGGGGGGTGGGAGATGGGAAGGCTAGGTGAGAAAGAGGGGCGGCAGGTGGGTTGACCAGGCCCATGTGGCCCCAGCCCCACCCGCACTCCTCTTTGCGGGCCGGTGTGAAGTTGAACTCCACGCCTGGAGGTGAGGGCAGGTTGGCTTCAAAGGCCGAGGACTGACGGGCGCCCGTGGTGATGAGGTGAGCGAGTGCTGATGTGATCACAGTGGATGCCTGCACGTGCCTGCTGATAGGAAGTGGGAAGGTTAGATTTGTGGCAGGTGGGTAGTGGTGCAGCCCCATCTGGCTCCAGTCCCACCCGCGGTGCCCAGTAGGTGAACTAGGCACCCGCTGGCCAAATAGGTGAACTGCATGGCTGGACATGGCTGGGGTGCGCTGCAGTGATAGGATAGGATGGTGTCACATGCACGGCCACTCTTCTCACCTCCACTGCTGCTCGGTGCAGCCTAGTGCAGTAGTTGTCGTTCACGGCCACTGTCCTGCTGCTGCCCTGCGCCATGCTTGTGATGTGCTGCTGTCATGGTGAGTCTACTTTTAGGCACCTCAAAAACAGACTCCTCCTACTGCACTGCACCATGTGGCCCATGCCTGTGATGTGATGCCTATGGCAGTACACCGTCTGGCAGGAGTCACCATCGTCCACAGCTGCAGGTGGGGGGGGGGGAGAAGGGGGAGGAGGATGGGCCGGCGAGAGGAGTGTATGGTTGAGCAGATTCAGTGAGGGATGAAAAGTGCGGCGCTATCAAAGGGAGTAGCCCGTCCAAGAGGAATCACCGTCATCTGCATAGCTGCAGGGGAAGGGAGCGGACGGATGGACAGGCACGGCAAGGAGTGGTTTGGATGGGAGGGAGGAGGGATGCATGAGCGGAGGTAGAGAGCGGGAGGCATGAGGGCTCGTCTTTTGAGGTTGGAGGAGCCCGTTCAATAGGAGGGGGGGATGGATGGATGGACGGATGGATGGATGGACGGATGGATGGATGGACGGATGGATGGATGGATGGATGGATGGATGGATGGATGGATGGATGGATGGATGGATGGATGGATGGATGGATGGATGGATGGATGGATGGATGGATGGATGGATGGATGGATGGATGGATGGATGGATGGATGGATGGATGGATGGATGGATGGATGGATGGATGGTTGCATGGATGGATGGTTGTATGGATGGATGGATGGATGGATGGTTGGTTGCAAGCACTGACGGGAACATGTCACCATTCTTGAGGGGCCACATGGCATTGGCAGAGTGGAGGGCATCCAAATAGATGGAAGGAGTGGTGTAGAGCACGTTCACCCTCCCATCCTGTAACGCACAAGAGCAATGGCTGTAAAACAGAAAATGTATCTTTGAGAGCAACCGTGCCAGTTGGTGGACGGACAACAACCAACGATGCGAGCAACTGACACGTGTTTACATTGGTTTTGACAAGCTACAGAGAGGAAATTTGAGGTGCCTCAGATCAAATTTCGAGGTGCCTCAAGAACTGAGATGCATACACATTTGGTATTGGCAAGCTACAGAGAGTCCCACTCCTTGGAGAATACAAAGGTCAATGTAACGGCATGTATGAGGCATACGAATAGTGACTTAGCAGGTTGATATTGTGAATGAGCTCATCCATGCTCCACAATCACAAGAAACCATCCCATCACGTCCCATGCCCTCACACACCGAGCACACAGTAACCTACCCATCAGGTACACACACAATGCCTACCACATGATGCCATGCCACATAGGCTTGAGCAATGGGTCGGGTCGGGTCGGGTAACCCGACCTGGATCCGAAAATTTTACGGGTCGGGTCGACAATTGCAGAGGGTCGACCCGACCCTCGAGTACCCGACCCAACCCGACCCGACCCGACCCGACCGACAAAACCCAACCCCTCGGGTCAGCTTATTACTTGTTCCTGCCCCTATGCCAACCTGATCCGATCCGATCCGAAATCGGGTCAAGTAGTACCCGACCTATTAAACCCAGGCCGGGTTGACATTTACTGAACTTCGACCCGACTTGACCCGACCCGACCCGACCCGAACGCGACATCGGGTAGGGCAAAGTCGGGTCGGGTCGGGTCGGGTCTGGTTTATGCTCAAGCCTAATGCCACACCATGCCATGCCACACAATACAATGCATACCACATGATCCCATGCCACACCATGCTGTCCCACAGGATGCCACACATTGAGTGACCCACCCACCAGGTTGGCGGAATGGATGAGCTTATCCATATTCTTGAACAACAGTTCCGAGTTTGGGCTGTCAGTTTGGGAAAGTGACGATGACTACACCAGCTGCGCACCGTACGCCTTTAATTTAGACGGGCCGCGTGGGCGTAACGCAGACATTTTTTCGCGAGCTTTCGCAACGGCATAATGAGCCATTGAAGCCGTTGGCCCGAATTGGGGGATTTTGCTGTTAAAATTACAATGCGAACAGCCGTTGATTTCGACCAGCTTATGATTGGTCCTGCCTAACTTTGTGGGGGAAAGTATATTGGCGCTCAGTATTAGGCTGATCGATAACATGTACGGTCAGTGACACGATTTAAACAATCAGAATTCGCGAGTTTGCAACATGTTTCATCAGTCGGGTTCCAACTTTAGTCAGAAACTGCATGAAAAAAGTTCCACAACTGGTCAGTAGAAGTAACCCCCGCCAGTCTCGGAACGTTTTCCCGCTCGCGCCAGCCCAATTTCGTCATCACTGCGGCTGGCGCGATATTTTTCCCAAGCTCCAGGCGCAGTTCGAGAGAACTACGTAAGGTCTTCCCATACACTAAATTACGAAATTGAGACCTTGCGCATTTATGTCACAGAAGCTAATTGGGCCACGGCGGGCCGCACATCGGGTGCGATATTTTTCAAACATTAACAAACGCACAAAAAACGAAAACAAAAGGGAAAATCTACCCGGGATCGGCGCTAAACCAATGAGGCATGAATATTAAGCTGTAGTGTGCGTGCGCTAATTTGTCTCGAGCATAACAAGGCTTGTAGAGGCGTAATTCAGCGGAAAATTTTTTCAATAAATACATTTGTTGAAAAAATCAAAAGGCAACTGGCAGACTTCTAATATATTTGTTGCATTGAAATTAATACATAATTAAATGCGGTTCTGAGAGTACCTTGACGCGCTTTAAAACGTATTCATTTCCCAAAAATAAACCTCCGTAGTTATCTATATATGTTATTGTTTTCGGGCGACTCGGGAATGACAAGTTTATGGCTTAACTTTTTTTGGGGGGGGGCTGTAAATGCAGTAGAGACAAAGCCGCCATTTTTTATATTCGCGGGACGCGCTACCCTCTGTGACGAAAGTATGTGCTTCAAAACAAAATCGTGTTTTCATGTTTCTAGACTAACAAATTTCCAATGAATTTCAATTTGGGAACTTTTTGTTTTTTCGCCCGAATAACGCCTGGAACTCGGGAAAAATATCGCGCCAGCCGCAATGATGATGAAATAAGGCTGGCGCGGGCGGGAAAACGTTCCGAGACGGGCGGGGGTTACTTCTACTGACCATTTGTGGAACTTTTTTCCTGCTGTTTCTGACTAACGGTGGAACCCGACTGATGAATCATATTGCGAACTCGCTAATTCTGATTGTTTATATCATGCCACTGACCGTACATATTATCGAGGCCCCTAATGCTGAGCGCCGATATACTTTCCCAACTTTGTGGGGGTGAGACCCGACTCCCCAACATTGTTTCTCGTGACTAAGCTAAAGCATATTCAGCGACCCTGCTTCCCCCAAGTTTGTGCCAGGGGCAACATTCATAACCATAAACGATTTGGTTTTGCATAAACATAAACCTGGTGTTAGGATTTGTGACATGCATGGGGGGAGTATCTCAAGAGTACACCTGAAGAAAACATGTCAGAAGTACATTAGGGAGTGTCACTAAAGTACGTGCCCTGTTCAACACCTAGTTCAGTTATTATTTTTAGGCATGTAACCATAAAACGCGCCCAAATAGGACACGCTCAACTCACACCCAAAATTAGCGGACACAAGCGCATGTTTCTAGGTACCTCCGCATGACAAAAAAGACCGCACAAAAATCCAATTCGCCATCCAATACCATCACAACCTATAGCGAAATTGCTGCGCGAAACTTTGCGGCCTCGCATGTCGCTAGCAAACAACTTTCCCTGCCAAATTCAACACACCCACATAGTGAAAGACATACCCTCAATGCGCCGATTGGCCCTCCTTTTCTTACACGTGCCTGTTGCGCTGGTTTCGCATGGCGGGACCCCGTTACCCGCCACCATGTCGGTGCTGGTCTCGGTGCTGTCCTTCCGAGCTGTACCCTTCATGTCGGACCTGTTCCCGAAACGGGATCAGTTTGGAAATTGATTCGCATTGCGTACCGTCAGACAGCTCTACCTGTCCAAAACGGGTTGACAATTTTTGGGGACACGCCCTTATGGTGCACCACGCTGATGCGCAGCTACAGTATAGAGTTAAAGCTCCAGTCTTGCATTTACGCATTGAGCGTCAAATGTACAGCGATCGAAGAAGGGGTTACCCGTTTTTTGCTAGGCGAACCCATCCAAAAAGGTTAGCGACAGGCCCTCTCGCAAGGCCCTCTCGTAAAGCAAATCTGGGAAATGCGAGACTTTCAGAATGGTCGAATTGGATGGTGGATTAAAACCGAGGGCGTAGTTTCTGAGTTCATATTGGTTTGCCATTACATCACTTGAGTCGCGCGATACATTGTGTTTGAGTTAGATTGATGCAACTGAGACGTAATATGGATTCAGATGTGGCCTTGTGAAACCTCCCTTTGATTCGTAGTTGGGTTGGAGTTTTGCCGTGAACCTTTTGCATTCGACAAAGCTTTTCCCAAACTTTGTCACTCGCGGACCAGTCATATCTTTCCAACCCCGTCAACTACTTAAGTTTGTTAAATATGAGACTCGGGCTTAAGGGGGCGTATTCTTTGAGTTCCTTAACATGAACATGTTCGCCGCTGCGGCGTCGTAGGTGCCACATAAACCTCGCCACTGAGCCATCAGATGAATGGGTCGTTGGCCGTAATTGGAGGCTATTGGGTGCAGGTTGGAGGGTGGCCAGGTCCAATGTGCGGGGTTCCATGGACCCTTGGTGTATGTGATGGGATTGAGCTGAATCCATTCAATTCATCGACCTGTCAAAAGGCAAGAAAGGTGGTGATGTTCCGAGGGCGAGTTGCTTGTGGTTGTGTACTATGACGTAGCTCACTGTATCATGATATACTATTTCTTTATATCGTCCTTCTTTCATTAAAACCATGACTTTCTCTATCCTAGTCAAACCCCAATTAAGGCATATTCCTACGAAGTAGTATCAATGGTATACAGTAATGGATTTCAGTTGGTGCTTATGCCACTTCGCATAATACAAGTCTCGGTGCGCAAAACTTTTGAGTTGTTTATTCTGATTGCTCCACCCGATATTCACCCTCTTGAGAATCACAATCGTGTGTCAGATGGCCTCTGCGTGGAGAAAATAGAATATCGACAGCTAAACTTTCACATGCGCAACCAACGTGTTATATATATATATATATAGTATGAGTGTTCCCTTAGTACAGGTATTGCCTATTATGATCATCTCCGGATGCGAGTCAGCTAATGCAATAGTGAGGCCGTAATAGAAGTGTGTCGAATACAAACGAAGCACATGGCTAAATTACAAGCACAGCTAGTCTAGCGAGGGGCCTCGGCGATGGGCCACGAAACCCCCGCGAGGTGGTTTGGCGCCCCAAAGCTTAGAAATGTTGGACGTGACTCCACTTGTAGGCTTGGGGATCTCGAACGTAATTCGAGACTTGGGTTGTCAGGCCGAGCCTGGACTTCCGAAGTTCAATGATGTATGCGGTGTTAACGAGGATTCGCTAAGGAAATGGATTTTTCTAATACCTTTCTCCCTACGAGATGAAACTACCCATATCTGGTTCTCAAGGGTTGTTGGTGGGACCCACATGATGTCATTACAAGTGTGGCCAACCCATCGAACCAAAAACTCCAAAACCCGTTGACCATGGTCGCGGCGGATTCTGTGGGAGAGAATCTATTGAGGTTTGGTAGTTGGCTCAGGAACGGGACTGATCACAGGATAGATGCTTTGACGGTCAAGATCAGGCGTGTTCGAGAC